TTGTCCCTTTCCCCTTCTGTGGGGGACCTTGTATGAATCTGTTAGGGTCCTCCTTGTTTCCAGATATTTCTTACCCATTAGTATTTTAAAAGTGCAGTGATCTGCACAACTTTCATTTTTCGTTTTCACTTCAAATATTATTTGGTCATTCTATTTTGAAATATACACTTTATATCTTTCTACCTCTATACCCCCCTTTTTTTTCTTTCTGATAAAGCCTCATGTGTACAGGTTGGCTTGAACTCACTGTGTAGCTGAGGCTGGCTTTGAACTCTAGAGCCTACCTCTTGTCTGTACCTCCTAAATGCAGGGATTATAGGCATGTGCCACAATGTCTGCTTTATTCTCTTTCTTTCTAAGTTCTAGGTTTGTGCTACATTGCAGAGGAATTTTCTTTTCTTGAGGAACATTACTTATATTGATTTTGTAAATTGACACATTACAATTATACATATTTGTAGGCTACCATATAATGATCCAAATCTTATGCATATTCTGTCACATTCAAATCAGACTAATCAGACCCATTGCCTCCAATACTTACCATTTCATTGTACAGTAAATATTCAACATTTTTTTCCTAGCTTTAAAATGTTGTTATTTTAATATAAACAAAGCACGGGTTTCAGGATATCAAGACACAGACACTGCTTGAAATTTTTTCTACTTGCCAAAATATCATCACACGTCCTCTATGTATGTGGTGTCCTGGGACTCAAAGTTTTACCCAGATCTGGAGCCATTGCCCACCTTGTGAAGGCAGCAGACACAGATTTCTTTTCATCTTCACATAAAAGTTGACTTCAGAAGACAAAATCACTCAGAAGAGTGCTTTAAGATGACTTCAGTAAACATGTCCTTCAGTTAGCAATATTAAAGAACATGCTGCAAAAATCTTTGAACAGAGTGAAACCTATCACTTCCCAAACATCACACGGTAAAGGATGCTAGTGAAGTTAAACTTTCCAAAAAGAAGCAGACAGTGCAATGACTTGGGAACTTAAATTAACAAGTTTTTCATCTACCTTTCTCCCAAGTGAGAAGGTAGGAGGCAATGGATAATTGGTGATTGGAGTGTGGGCCTAGAAAAGGGGATGTGACCTATAAACATGTATTTCCCTGAAAGAAAATGCTTCAGTAGCTTTAATGCTATCAATCACTTAAGTCCACTTCTGTTGGCTCCAAATAGTGAGTGACTTCTTCCATTACTTATTTTTCTGTGAGAATTGACTTTACAGGGGAGGGAGTCAGGAATGGGACATGGGGTAAAAACAGAGCATCTTCGGAGGTGAATGTTATACACTTACATTTATGCATGTGTGGAAAATGTCATAATAAAGCTCAATATTTTGTAGTGTTCACACACAAACACACACATACTGATTATAAAACAAATGAACAAAAAAAAAAAAAAAAAAAAAAAAAACCAGAATTCTCCTCCCTTCATCTGAGGAACAGTTGGATAAATGGAGGACACCTGTTTGTCTTTCTATTGCTTTGTATACAGGAATCCAGTCACTTGATAATCAGTTTACCTACCTATTTGGGTTTGGGTTCATTTCCTCTTTTGAGATGCAGTCCAAGTGTTCAATCCAGCAATCACAGGATTGTCTCCTTACTCTGAATCGATACTGTACACTCTATGAATTCCTTGGACTTGACCTTGGAGCTTCAGCTGGGTACTATGGCTGTTTCTTTTGGCTGCTAAGACTGCTAAGACTCAGTGAACCCCATGGTGATGCACTAAGGCTGCCAGTTCAAGGTTTTAAGCAAGATTTTCTAGGGCTGGGTATGAGCTCACTGCTCATCCACTCAGAGCTGATGTCTGCAATTCTAGTGTTGTCCAACTCTCTCTTTTCCTTGTAAATGTCTACAATGCATCTCATGGTCAGGGTCACTGCACAACTGGCTTTTACTGGGATCTTTTTTTCTATCTCTAAATAACTGGTTTTAGTTCTTTGATAGAAAACTATCATTTTTTCTTGCTGGTTGCTAATACTTAGTACTTTACTAAGTACTTTTTTAAATTTAATTTTTCTGATGTTAAAGGTTACTATTCTAAACATCCTTTTTTTTTTTTTTTCTTCATTTTTACCTTGTATTTTTTTTCTTTCCTGAAAAAGGCCATTTAAGAGATCAGATGGACCAGGTTTTTCATTCTTTTAAAAAGTTTTGATAGTATTTTGTTCCTTTTCAATACATCCTGGCTGCAGATTGTTCTCCCTCTAGTCCTCCTAGTCCCTCCTCTCTCCTCTTCCATAGATCTACTCCTCCTCCCTTTACCCTTCAGAAAAGAGCAAGCCTCCCAGGGATGTCAAATGAACTCAGCATATTAGAATGGTTGTTTCTAGAAGCCAGATGAGGGATATTTGGGGAAATATCAGATGTTGACCAAAGGGTCAAATGACATCGATAAGTTCTGCTGGTTCAGTGTGACTAGATAAAACAAGAATAAAGAAGACTAGGCACCTTCTTTTATACACATTCACTTACTGAATTGGGGATATGCCACTGTGTGTGGAGAGAGGTCAGAAGACAACTTGTGGGAAATCACTTAGTCTACCCCATTGTTTCTGGAGACTGAACACAAATCATCAGACTTGGTGGCAAATTCATTTTCATTTTAAATGTCAAAAGGACATACCAGGCATGATGTCCTTGAAATTACAATGCTTCAGAGAAAAAAGGGTCGCAAGTTCTAGGTCAGGCTGAACTATTTTGGGGGATATGTTTCTGAAATAAGTTAACTAACCAAAACTGAATTCTGGCTCACTCAAGTTCAAATAAATATATTGGATGAGATTTATGGTTTCTTTTCTGCAATAAACTATGAACAAAATATAAGCCAAACAGTATTAGAATGTACTAATGACACTGAAATATTTATAGCACAGAACATTAAAATGTCATACTTAAGGCCCAAGAGCCATAGACTCATTCACTTTTGTCTTTCTATAGTACTATTACTTTTCAAAGTTCCCAAATTTTGATGTGGTAATGTTATCTATTAATGTGTTTAATTCTTTGCCTAACAAATTTTTATTTATAATCTATTATTTCTTTCCTGGAACTTTCTAGTTTTGTTTGTTTGTTTGTTTTGTTTTTGCTTTTTTTCCCCTAGCTTTTGGGATTAGAAATTTAATCACTTTTTAACCTTCTTGGTGATACCATTATTAAAATAATATCATAGTTTTCTGATTATTATTTTATATAAAATTGGAATTTTAGGAGTGTTCATTTTCCTCTGATCTTACTTTGCCATAACCTTCAAGGAACTACATCTAGTTAAGTCTTAATACAGTACCAAGATTATTGACAATTGTACAAAATGGATGGCAAAATATATTTCCTATTTCCAATCCTGAATGAATTGTATACACTTCTGTGAAAATAGCATGTCACAGTGGATTTAATGTAAATATATGAGGTTACATTTGTTGTCTAGCTAAGCATTTCCAAATTTGAAAAGTGAATAAAACTATATTCCTTGTTTACTTATAAATATGGTGTTTTCATTCATGCTGGATGAATTATTTAAAATGTCCAAGTTTATATTTCATTTTTATATTAGAATTTTAAAAGTCTAATGTTGATAGATTCAATCCATATAAACAAGGCCCTTCCAATTTTTAATGTACAAATATCTATTCTGAAAACCAATGTTTGAGAACACATTGCTGTCAGCTGTATTTAAGGCTTTCAATAGATGTCTGTGCTCTAAATATGTAAATGAACATGCTAATGTGGTCCCAGTGAACTGTGCCTAGCAGTCCTTCAGGCTCTGGATATGTAAATGAACATGCTAATATGGTCCCAATGAACAGTCCTAGCAGTTCTTCAGGCTCTGAATATGTAAATGAACATGCTAATGTGGTTCCAGTGAACAGTGCCTAGCAGTCCCTGAGGCCTGGGTTTCCCACAAGAGACTCCAATTCACTAACATGGTGACCCTTTTCTCCAGAAGAATTCCTTTTCCCTTGCATCTCAGCCAATCCTCATTCTACTCCCAGCTCTAGCTCTTTTCTAGGAAGAAGTCCTATGTCACATTCTCTTTGAAGCCATGTCATTATATACTTCAGAATTTTCTTCCTAGTCATTTATTTATCCATGGAAATATCTAATTAAAATATCCTTTCCTAATAAGTGAAAAATCCTATGAACCTAGATGAATGACTATTTAAAATGTCTAAGTTTATATTTTATTTTAAGCACACCTGTCAACAATGTGTTCTCAAGTATTTGTTTTCAGGCATTGTTTGTATGGTTAAAAATATCGGGAGAGTCTTGATTATGTGGATTATATCTATCAGCATTCAAAATGTAAGATTCTAATTTAAAAAGAAGCTTGCACTCATGCTTCAGCATTTTACACACACTGTATTCATAACAGATTTGATGTGGCATGAAATGTTCTTCAATTTAAAAAAGGGAAAACACCAAGCGAAACTAAAATGAATATAGTTTACATCACTAGTACTTTTTTCTTGTGCAATTTTATCATTATGTAACACTATTGTTTATATTTTCAAAGAAAACATTAAATGGAAACTCTGTACAATGAGATTTGGTGATGCTACCATGTATGCTTGAGCAAGCCTGGTGATACACAACTATTGGCATACAACATACTACATTTTAAAAGACATTTTATTCCCTATATATTATATTAGAATTTTTAATTGCCATGTTTATCTTCCTTCCTACAAGGTCAACAATTACCTCTTCAAGCCTAAGACTCTGCAGCTGAGTGATACATCTATTTACAATTTCTTTTATAGCCCTGGTTACTAACCTACCATCATATCTAGCATGCTTTGTTATAAGTATCTGAATGATGTGGTCCCATGAAACTATTTACTACTTAATGGATTGGACTGTGCTTATATCAATAGCATAAATAAGGTGCTTACCTATTGATAAAATATCCAGAAAGTAATTAAGCTAAACATTCAATAAGTAATGCTGATTATTTGTCATCTTGTTTTGTTAAATTCTTCTAGCAAAAACTCAAGTAATGGGGGAAATCAAGCTGGCACTGAAAAAGGAAATGAAAACAGATGGTGAACAACTAATAGTTGAAATTCTCCAGTGCAGAAATATTACCTACAAATTTAAGTCTCCGGATCATTTACCAGGTATCTAGTTTCATGATAATCATCAATGAAAGATATCTAGTAGTTGACTAAGAGCATGTCTTACATATTCTAAGAAATTCTAGCTAAATTTTTACCTGTGTGTGAAATACATTAGAAAACATGTGAAAAGAGAAATTAATTTCCTACTCTTCAGCTTGAAAGAATTTCCAGTATATAAATTAGAGTGCTACATTTAATAAACAACAATAAAACTAACTTAAATTTCTAAGACAACTGTATGCTTATAATCACATTATGCTTTCTGGGAAAATGGTATACAATTTACTGTGCTTGTATAGAGTATAAGGAGGATATCATCATGCATCACTAAACACTATGATTGCTTGATGGACACTTACTGAGTTTACTTCTTATTTTCAGATTTATATGTGAAAATATATGTGATAAACATCTCTACTCAAAAGAAGGTTATCAAGAAGAAAACAAGGGTATGCAGACATGACCGAGAGCCTTCTTTTAACGAAACTTTTAGATTCAGCCTAAGTCCTGCGGGCCATTCTCTTCAGGTACGTGTGTCATATACTATGATTGATTTACTTTTTCATTCACACTGAAATTATTGTTCATTAAATTATTCAGTGTTTATACAATGAACATATAGTGGACAGTCGTTAATTAAAAGTATCACCCCAGGAGTCCCTTGAACGCTCTTAGCGCATTCACTCTATCCAATTATCCACTTCTCTACTCTGCTTTTTTGAAGCTCTAGGTGGATTTCTTTTGCTCTCATGGTCCCTCTCACTGATGCCTTTTGGCTCTTCGTTATTTACAACATTTTGGTAATTCACCTAGTTGATTTCTCAGTGTGGTCTCACCGCTTTAATTTCATCACACTGCTGCCAGTGTTATCTTTACTAAACGCTGTTTGGTTTCCATTGAAGCTGTTCAGTAAAACATCATTTTCTTGCATCATTCAAAGTCCTCCAAAGTGAGCTTTCATTATTATCTAGGCCTTTTGGGTACCAGCCTCTCAGACCTCTCAGGGTTCGGATAGAAAGCTTACAGCAAGCTCAGGATTTAGAAAATAAGTCTACCGGCGAAATGAATTCTCCATTGCATACTTTTCCGCATCCGTTTCTTTACTGTTCTCCTATGCTGCTAAGTTTCCAGCTTATCCACACACAAAGACAGTTCTCCGAGATGGAATTTCTCAGGGTCAAAAGCAGATTAAGAGCTGATCCGGAGTGACACAGTCAGCATCTTTGTAGCCCCCTGGGAGGAGTGGTTAGAAGGACACCCATGCAGTACTGAGGCAAAAAAGCTGATTTAGGAGGCTTTAATTCTAAGAAGGCAGAAGGGAAGTAGGTGTGTGATACTACATTCCTAGGTAAAAATTCTGTGTCGGTAAACCGAAGTGAGGTTAGGTATAGAGAATTAACAGCTTTTTTTAGGGCAGAGCAGGGAGTTAACAGTAGTTAGCACCCTCCAAAGTCAGCTGTAAGAGAATTTAAGGCACCCAACTCCAAATAAGGAAAGACTAAGAATCAAACAAGCTGGCACAAGCCACTGTACCCTACCAAATGTCCTGCCAAATGGAAGATAATTGCAGGGAGCTGATTTCTCGATTTATCTCAGTGAAAAAAGTAGGGATTAGGCTGTGGGGACCAAGTTATTGACTGTGTGACTAATTGTCTCACCAGAGGTCTCACAGATCAGGGGTAAGTGACCCAATATACCAGTACATGGGAAAATGTTCCCAATAATCTACACACTGCTGAGTCTTTCACTATAAGAGAGTGCTTATAGCTACATAAGAGATTTACTGTAAAAACAGCTGTTATACAAAAGGTGGTGAGGCCAGCATCTTGAGAGTGGGTTTATCTCCATTAGAACACATTCATTCAACCTTATGCTTTATCATCTGAAATCTCACTGCACAATTCTTGCTGACTGCAGCAAGTTATATTGATTTAGTCTCAGTTCCTTGCCACTTTCCTACTCAATCAATACTCTAGACACGGTATATCTAACTAGAATCAGCTTTCCTCTCTACATATCATATTTGCCCATCCTTCATAGTAAGTGGTTTGGGGATAAAATAAAATTTAGGGAGAATAAAATAAATATTTATCTGGGCTAATTTGTGTTTATAGGTATTTTAATAACAGCTTTCTTTCTTTCAAGTACATGCATGAATCTTCATGTCTCCTTTTCTTTGTTATTTTCTTTTTGGTGGTAAAAATCTTGAAAAGTTGAAAAAAATGTACATATGTGTATCTTAACTATGCATGTGTCTCTGACTTTGTTTTCTAGATTTTACTTTTCTCTAATGGAGGGAAGTTTATGAAGAAGACTTTGATCGGAGAAGCCTGTATCTGGCTTGACAAAGTGGATCTGAGAAAGAGAATAGTTAATTGGCACAAACTTTTGGTCAGCCCTACTCAAACTCATTGAAGATAAGTCTGCTCCAAAGCAGAACCAGAGGTCCCTGGCCTCACATGGAGACTGTAGCTGAATACCTCTGTGCTCCTCTGTGTTTTCACGGGTAAACATGGGATAGGAGACAAGAAGCACACAGATTGCATTGTTGTGGAATATGAAATTACTCAAAAAGTTCAAGTGTTGAAAACCAATAATGAAAATAGGCCTGAGATGCTGGATTGCTCAAAGCTGTGAAGAGAAACTGTGAAAGGAGATTTTATTTATTTATTTATTTATTTAAGAAGAAGTTTTGGAGCAGACTGAGCTGGAGCTGATGAAAAAGGCACAAAGGTTTTTATGGCAGCCAAAGGTAGAGGGAAAGCATTTGTTCATACACACAGAAACCTTGCCAGAAAGGACTGGTGTAGTAAATTTTGGTTTTGAAAAGCTCAAGACTCCTTGTCTTATATTCTCATAAAACGTCCTGCTTTGGGATTCTGGAGTAAGATTCATCTATGAATTATCTACAGAACTAGAAGGTGACTGTGTTTATGGAGAAAATTAAGCAAAGGTTATGAACAATGGATTTTAGACTGAACTGTGCATGTTTTCCCTGTGTCTACATTAGAGAGCTATACAACAGTAGGCCTGAATTCTATGTGGCAAAAGCACATGTTTTTGGTGTAATTTAAAATAGTGAAGAGTGAAGATAATAGTAGGTTAAAGTTAAATTGTATTTATCTAGAAATAAAACAAAAACTAGTGACTGGATATTAAAGAAGAATGCTGACCTACAAAATATGTACCTTGGTTGAAAAACATTACAATCTACATACTGTCCCATTAAGTCATGGCATTCTCAACCGTACACATCAAGGCATCTAGATTAAATGGTGTATCCTACAAAGAGGTTTGCTTGTTCATTGAGGAACTTCCATTACATGTATCATTCTACATATTTCCTTTTTCTTGGATAATGTATTATCAGAGACATAAAATTTCTGTTCTGGCAAACAAATCATATTTATCTGATGACATTGATTAAACTGTTGTCACTTTCTGATTTTCTGTGTTTTTTTCTCTAAACTCAGTGATGATATAATGAACACCCTGATATCAACCTCAAGTCCTTTCTCTTATTCTGCTTTCTTATTGGTGACAACATCATCATTTGAAAGCTAGTGTTGGGAAAGGTTGAGAAAAGTCAATATTTAAAATTAAAATATATTTGATCCATTTTAACAATGTAAAACCAAACAACCAATGTGTGAATCATTAAAACGAAGCATTCTCTCCCTATCAACCACCAGTCTGTGGGAATTGCGGTGAGCTGGCTCTAAAGTCCTGGCTTCTGGTCCTGATTTTGCTACTGACTTTACACATATCACCTCTCAAATGCATGTTTCATTCACTTTCCCCATAAGTAATGGTGTTTTCCTATCCTTTTTACAGGGTGCCAGGATGCTGAAATATAAAGAACTAGGAAAGCACATTTGCAAATATTGCTTTTTATACAAACTGGGAGATAATTATCACGTAGCCTTTTAATTCTCAAATTTTATGTGTGAGAAACAGCTTCCAACCAATGATAAGCATCAGCGTGGATAAAAACAGTAAATTGTTCCAAAGCTCATTTTTATTTAAATATAAACTTCAATTTAACCTGAAAATGATAGACAATTAAATAAAAATTACCATAAAAATTTACTGAAGTCCATAACTCTTATCCCATTACCACATCCTACACAAAATAAACCAAATTGCTTTGCAGAGTATTTGAATCTAGAAATTGTCATTTTGTTTAGGATAGGGTTTTAGTGGGATTATAGGAAATTATCTCAAAAATATTGGTTGGATGTTGAATTTTCCCACTTATAGAGAAAAGTATTAAATGTAAAAGTGATGGAAACCCCTAGAAATAAAACACTTCTGGTATATGCCAAATTGTATATCTTATACTCATTAAAAAAAATACAAGCTCACTTTTCTTTGTCCTGTAATACCATCTCTCTCTTTCCTCTATTTTCATCTTTTCTCCCTCACACCGTAATACCATCTACCACTGACAGTCTTTTAAAGTGAACATGGGAGAAGTGAATTTTCAAAGATAGAATATTGCTAACATTTTATTTTTAGAGACTATTAGATCTGTTGATGGTTGCCATGGATATTTCCAGCAGACACTCTCATTTGAGGAAGCCTAAATGAGAGGAAAGGGGTTTAAGAGGATTTTGTGACATCAAAGGCTCTGCTATTTGTTCTTCACAGGCAGCTCTGGTTTATCTTTTACCCTGTCCTACAGTTGCTAGTACTACAAGGGTCTTGTGAAATGTTACACCGCCAGGTAGCTAACTCCATTCTAGTTATGACTTAATACAACCAGAGAGACCACCAGAGCAAGATCATCAAGAGTAGCTTGTAAGCCTGAAATAATGGACACCTCTCTAATTCAGCTACCCCTCCATTCCAAGGAACTAGCAATAGGGCTAGCTCAATCAGATCAATCAAGATGATGAGTGACAAAGATTCTTATCATGCACCAGCATTCCCCTTGAGTAAGAAAAATATCCTGCCAGTGTGTCAAGTTTGCAGCTGACCAAGCCCCTAGGTTATAACTGGAATTGCTCTATGCAACACCAATTATAATACGAATATAGTTCTGAGGGACACCGACTGCCCTTCTCACAATGAAACTATTTCTTTTTTAATTGAAAATAGGGCTCTTAGTGTTTTTTACTTTTTTGTAAATAACACAACATATGATTTTCCATTTTTTATTTTATGTTCTGTTATTAAAATTAGCTTTTCTATCTTAACAGTAACAAAGTTTATAATCTGTAATCACTAGGTTCTTAGTATTATAGTATTTACACCTTGAGAAGCATTTCGTTTTCCCTATTAGTTCACTGAGCAGTCAAAGATGAAAGTTGCTTATTGGTTTAAAAATTGGTAGTAAGGAATCTTTCAACTGGAGAAGAAAAAGCACAGACTGAATTTTTATAAAAGACAAGGAATCATAGAATCATTACAGATGCAGATAACACTAGTAGCAAGAAATTGGTATTTTCTCTGATTTTACTTAATTTTAAGAAAACTTTTGGTGACTCTGAGCTCATTTGATTATCATTTCTGTTTAAAAGAACAATATTTAACATGAAGAGATAGTAATTACCCTCCATCCTTAATATTGTCTGTATTTTAGTAATTCACAATAGTTAAATGTACATTCTCTGCGTATCTATGAGGCTGATTTGGAGATTCACACACACTATAATAATTGTATCCTGGGAATATTATAGCTGGTAACCAGCTGATATTGATTCTCATTGTAGAACTGCTGTTATAATGTTGGTGGTAGCCATAGTAACAATAGTGTTGGCAGTGATGTGAAGTAAAATAAATTATTTGTTACTATATTGTGCCCAATTTATTAGAAATGATTTAATCAGTGCTTCATTTAGTTAAAATACCATAAAGATATTTATAGTATTTTTTTACTTTATTATTTAAATCATAACTAACAATATTTTTAAAAGCTTATTTTAATTGCTATAATGTCAAATAGTCCAAACAGCCAACTATAACTATATGTCTTTATAAATATATGTATGACAGAAGAGACTTTCCCTCCTTTAGAGTTTGAAATGAAAGTGAAAGCTCGATGAATAATCAAGAGTTTCCCCTTAATAGCTATTTACCTTTAGCTTAACACAAGAGTAAGCGAAACTTACATTCTCATCGAATGTGACATCCATGTTTTCTGTATGTCTCATGTGGCTATTTTAAAATGCACATTAAACAAATACCATTTAATCAAGTTCTTTATCTGATAGACAGACTGAGAGCATTTTCGGAATCTGTTACCCTGTATATAACTAGACGTTTGGTAACATAGTAGCTGTTGAACTAACCTCATCCTTTGGAAGTCAGCATGTGACTGTGATTATCATTACTGTGTCTGTATCTGTGTTCAGTGATGTGCTCAGGTGCTTCCATACTGATTAATATGTCTTAACAACACATCTGTTTAAAAAAGGTGTTTCTTGTCTAAGAAAAGTTTAAAACCTAATAAAATTTATTTCCAGCAAACCATGTAGTACTTGGAGATGTGTTTCGTTTCTAACGACATGTTGCATGCTTTCTTGCAATTTGCTAATCTTTTTATTATTTTTTGTTTACCTAACACTGAAAATTTTAATGAACAAATGCGAATTCTTGGGCTATTGATTGTATAAACTGACCTGAAAATACATGAGAATTGTGTAGAACAAAATGCTTGTAAATCTGTCTTGAATTTTACTCTATGTAAAAATGTGTCTTGTGACTGTACAGTTGTATCTTGAAAACTTATGAAAACTGTGCTGTATAAAGGCTGTTGTATCAGCCTTATTAATAAATATTGAAAATATCAGCTTTGACATCTTTTTCAGCCCAGGCAGAAGTCTATTTATACATTGTCATACAGAGGCAAAGCTTAAAACTACTACATTACAAAACCCAAAAAGAGTTTTTTAAAAAAAGGAAGATAATGAATAAGACACTAGCTTTTGTATTAAAGCAGTTCAAAAAGGATCCCTTTTGACATCTATTATTTCCTTGGTAAAATAGGTATAAAGTCACCTGATCAGAAAGGAGTGGGAGCTACTACAGATTAACTGTCAGAAGAGAGGCTTAAAATGGTTCTCAAGGACAGTGGAAGAATAAATAAACTAAAAGATAAGGAAGCTGGAACATTCCCAGCCTGAACATTAAGTTTACATGTGCAAGCAGAGAAAGGCCATAATAAATTCTAATTAGGGCAGATCTTATCACACATTAAACAACAGCAACAACAGGTGCATATGAACACAGCATGCAGAATGAGATGATTTATAACTGGTGAAGCATAAATACTAAAAAGAGAAGTCAGGAAAGCAAAGGACAATGAACTGGCGGTAAATGCATTACAAAATTCAAGGAGGCAGTAGACTCTGCCTGAGTCTGGAAATCTTACCCATGCAGCAAGCCCAGTTCAGACTAGAGTTTACCCATTGAACTAAAACAGGAAGAA